TCAGTCCGGGTTCAGGAACCAGTCAGGTGGAAAAGCTTTAAATAACAAAAATAAACATGTAACTAAATCATGCAGATAAACTTCAATGCTGTTACAGGTAATACAGAGCAAGGAGAACACACCAGCATCTTTAGTAACCTTCAGTTGGGCGTCTAGTTTTAGACAAGTACTATTCTATCTGCTTTTACAAGTACTGGCTGCTAATTCAGAGATGAATCATTTCACAATGAAGCAAGGATGAAAAAAGACTGATTTTACCAGACAAATAATTAAATACATGAATACATCTGTTTTCTGCCTTAACTTGCTTTCATTTAATTTACTATTATTCCTGCAGTCATTTCTGGCACTCCAGACGTTAACACACTTCCTCTCAGTAAATTCCATTCACACCCAGACGGATAAAGAGTCCATATAAAGACGTGAATCCAAGAGCTTACCGACAGCCCGTCAAGATCAAAGTCTTCCTCCTCACAGTGTACCCATTTGTGTTCGCTCTGCACTCCTCTCAGTCTGCCGCGCGCTGGGCAAAAGCTTGTTGCAGACATTTTGGCTGTACTTCATTTCCCCCGAGCACGAGCTCTTAATTGCCTCAATTCTGCTCACCTGGCGAGGCGCGCGCCGGAGCGCACGCAGGTTCCATCTGCGGTCACGCGCTGGCAACGCGCAACGGAGTCAGCATGTAGGGAAAGGATGAGGAACAATAGAGAGGGGCAGCCACACCTCTAAGGTCAGTGCAACACCTACTCACAAATCATTCTTTAGATCTGAAGCTGATGTGAGGAGAAACGTCTCCAAGATCAAATCAGCAACTATTCAGTCAAAAGGAAAATGAATAAACACTTAGATGTAGCTGCTGTCAGTAACAACCTTTAACTTTGAAGCTCTCAGCAGGCTAAAGCACTACAAAGCAAAGGAACCTTACAAATTAGCACTTTGGGAGATTTATTGTTGTTATTATATTATTATAATGATTATTATTGTAGTTGTTATTATTATATGTCCTGTAGTGGGTTACTTGGTGATTGAGCAGTGGGCGGAGCCTGTTGTTTTCTACTCATTGTCTTATGTTCTAGCTTTAGTGTTCAGCGTTTTATTGTAACTCCTTGTGTGACCTCAGTCTGGGACACGTGCTGTATGAATAAACTTGGTTCTTCTTCCACCACAGAGAAAGGCTGCTCTTCCAGCATCATGAACTTCCTTATGGTCCGGTTATTAGCCGAGCCTTCTGACGCTCATACAGACGGGTGTTGGTGAGCGTAGCTGCGTCTGACTGGGAGGTGTTTATCTCTGCAGCGATCCCTGGAAACTCACCTCACTCCACCCAGATGTTGTTCTTCACATCTTATTAAACCAGCTGTGATCAGCTTCCCCAGGAGCTGGAGCTTTTCATTGCAGGACTCAAAGCTTACATCACTCTCGCAGACAGAGTTAAAGTTAGGCGGACATGTTGTTTTACATTGTTGCTGCTGTCCTGCACAGCATGAAGGAAAAGGGGAAGAAGCCCAAGTGCATCACACAGGGTTCACACAGGTGTTGCTGGTATGATCAGAACATCCCAAACTAACACCAACGTAGATAAACAATAAACAACTTGTATTAAGTACTGATGAGCTATCTGCAGGGGAACAGGACCAGCTGGCATCCTCACACAAAAAGGAGGAATGGGTGTCTTTTATAGGACAGCCAGGCACTAATTGGTGTGTTTCCATTACCGAAACTTCCCAGTATGACCGTCTCCACTTCACCGGAGCCAGCCGAACCGGTCCTTTTCCAGACCTTTTGAGAGTCTTTGCAGGTTCTGTGGCCTCACCCAGATGACCCGCGGGCAAACCCAGTTCTAACCAGAACTGGGGGACGGAGGGTTTCAAAGCATCTGTCAGCATTCATTCTGGACAGTTTTACTTATTTTATGCTTCTTTGTGAGAAATGTCCTCATGTCCCCGTGTCTGTGGAGGGATCAGACAAGGACACTGCTTATTATGGGATAGTAATGGCACTGACTCCTCCTCCAGCTTCCACAAGCCTGTAGTTTCACTTTGGTTCGTTCGGTCTTTTATTTTCTAACTTTGTTGACAACCATGTCAGTCACGCCCACCATGCGTGCAGCAGAGCAACCAGGAAAACGTGGAACGGACTTCAGCCGACTGAGTCATTTCTAATGAATCAAGTCGAATGGATGTCTTTGAGAACAATGGAAAGAGCAAAAGGTGTGTGTGTGTGTGTGGGGGGGGTTCCCTCTGACATAAAGGTTGCGACATCTATGAACCACCTCCACTCAGTCAGCCAATTCAGTAGTTTGCTTGTAGTTTAACTCTTGATCCAAACGTTGGACCGTTTCTGCCTCTAACGATGGTTTCCGTCGTTGCTGGTTTCTCTTTTTTCCACCACAGCACCGAGATCACCACGTAGAGCTCCAGTAAAACGTGTTCAGACTGTGGAGCGCACGTTTAACGAAGCTTCGAATCAGTAAAAAATGAATCGAGGAACTTAATGAATCGAACCATTTGATGATTCGTTTCAGCCCTACTTCCTTTCAACGCTTTAACAACTCTTTAACTGTCACTGGCATGTTTTTACTGTGTGGGCGTCGGAACGAGCCCCCGCACCGTGAGAACAAACATCCCAGCTCTAAAGCCGATCTTCATCCGCGTACGTCACACGTCACGTGATCAGGAAGCAGAAAGTCCACGTGTTAGATCAGGGGAGTCAAACTCAAACTCACACGGGGCCGAAATGAAAATCTGGGACGGAGTCGAGGGCCAAACTTAATATTTTTTGGAAAAGTGACAACAAATTTGCACATTTTCTTTATCAACATTTATGCAATTTAGAACCTTTTAATTTGGAAGCAAACTTATTTCTGCATTAACACTGAATGTGGAATAACCAGATTACACACGAGCAAGTCAGTTTTAAATAAAACACATCAGTGGTATTCATTACTTGTGGTATATTCAGCACTTTTAAAATCTGTTCAGGAATTATGTTTTCTTGTTGTTTATTCATTTTTCTTATTTTTATTCTCCTTTTTTCTCCTGTAATACGTGTCATCGCTGCTGTGACGTCTAGCTTTCCCCACTGAGGAACAATAAAGGGATTTTCTATTCTATTCATCTATCTGCAGCCTTTCCACTTCCTGTTTACTGTAGGTTAAATCTTTTCTCACGGGCCAACGACAACATAAAAATATCATTTTATCTTAAATGAAAATGCAACATCTCACCTGTTAACTTTCATGTTTTGGAGCAGAAAAAGAGCATAAAACCAACATATTTAAAGCTCAGTTTGCTCCACTGGTTTACTGTGATGCTCACCTGTTCCAGCCAGATACCTGCATCATGGGGTTGATCTGAGCTGAGGAGGAGACTCCTGTTGTTTTGTTCATCTTCATCATAATAATGACAACATTAGATGACAACAGGTGCTCACATAGGTTTGTGCTGCTGAACATGTCTGAGCAGCTTGACCACGTCGTTGTGTGTCGGGGAGGAAAAATAACAACTACAGCAGCCACAGAGTCGTGCTGGTTTGAGCGTGTCGCTGCTCGCTGGAGTTATACCAGCTCTGTCTGGAAGTTAGCTGGAAAACTTTCTCTTTCAGTCGTGAACACATTACTGAGCGGTTAAAATCTCAGTTTCTGGGCTTCAACATCAGAAAATAGCTGAGTGAACTCGGCGCTGAGTGAGAGGAGTGTTTAGTTTGTCCGAGACCGCGGAGCTGCAGACACCGGCAGCAGACGCTGGAGAAAACACAAAGGAGGGGGCGCTTCGGCTCCGCGCTAACGCTGCAAAGCATCATGGGAGTTGTAGTCTTAGCGGGTCAGTTTTAATATATTTTTGATAATTATCTCTCGGGCCACATGAAAATGCTCCACGGGCCACACGGTGTCTGACACGTGTGTGTTAGGAGATCGTTTTGGGACGCTGCTGTAAAAAAAAAGTGAGGCGAGATTCGGAAAAGCTTCTGCCGATCACAATTCAACAACGGCTTATGAAAGAACGGATAACGTTCAAAATGCGCGGATTCTTCCTGTAAGAGGTGAGTCTACTCTTTGTTTTGGTAGTTTTGGCGTTGACATCATCATAGAGCAACGTTCTGTGACTCTTAAAAAAACAGTAAAAATGCTGAAAAACGCTGGCAGCGAAGAGCTTTTCTGATCAGGAAACGGCTGGCAGTGAGTGAGTTAAACAAAAAGAAAAATCTATTTGTGCTGCACATCCATAAAAACATCCATGTTTAGACTTCTTCTGTGTTCGCAAATCAGTCAGTGAATCATACCGTAATCAGTCACACGCACACACCACGGCCCATCGTCATTTACTGGACTAATGATGGGCGAATGGAAAAACAGCCCAACCCTAGTGTGGGCTACCGGAGCTGCAATACTTACTCTGAACTGCGTGGCGCTGAAGAGTCGAATGTTTTTACACACTGGGCCTTTAAGCTCTAAACCACAGCGACGTGCTGAAGCAACAGCAGTCATACGTGCTGTCAGCGCCGCTGCCGTCGTGTCTGCAGCAGGCTGTCTCCCCAACTGTGATTGGTCAAATGATAATGCGTGACTGACGCTACAACAAAGGTAGGTTGTGAACACGATGAAAACCTCTCCTGTCTCTGACTGATTCTCGTAGTGACTGAAACCCGACAGAAGACCAAATAGTTTCCACAGCTTCATCTCACCGCTCCCCATGGGGACGGGTCGAATGCAGGACGTAACTTCACCAGTGTGTGACGATGACTTTGGGACTTTAACTATACTTGGCTTCAAAAATCATTCATTAGAGAGATCTAATCACTCTAAAACTACAAGGTTCTACAACAGTGTGTGAATGAGTGAATGACTGGTTGTGATGTAAAACGCTTTGGGGGGTTTTAGAACCCCAGTAGTGCTAAACATATACAGATCATTATTTTAAAGATTCAACCTCATTCTCATAATTTCACTGTAATGTCCCACCATAGACTGACCATATATTCATTCATTCATCCACCAGTACCTGTGTCCATGCTGTCCAGGTCCAGGTGGTGAAGAACACACGATGAATCAGTCCCAGCTGATGGATGATCCTGAAGTGGTAGCAGGTTTTCTTTAGCCGTGTTTAGCTAACAGCTGCAATAGAAACAAAGCAGGAGAGCTGATTAAGATGCTGCTTCAGAACAACGCAGGAGATTAAAGATCCAACGCTTTGGTTCTGATCAGCTGAGGACAGATCCTTTGCTCACCAGAGTTCACGGAGTAGAGCTAACCGCTTTTCCCTCCAGAGTCACATTCAGATTCGGGGCTTTTCCGTCGGAGAGTGTGAGCAGGATGGATGAGAGAGCGAGCAGCGATCCTGCATCATGACCAACTCAGATGAGCGAGTCTGATAGAGGGAACCTCTTCAATCTGATGAAAGCAGCAAAACGAGCGCGTTTCTCAGAGAGGCCAAAGGAACAGCAGCAGATCCAGAGGGCAGGAAGTCTAGAGAAAAGCTTTTCTCACCCACAACCTGATTCTGGAGCTCCGATTGTCACGAAGACCGCAGAATATCTTCTCTGCTTCTGGAAAGAACTCCACCAAGTTGTTGAGGAGGAGAAGAAAGTTTCCACAGCCTGGTGAGAAGATTTCTGCAGCAGCAGCAGTTAGTCGCTTTAGCTGATCAACTCTCCCAGAGACTGAAGTGAAGACATTTTTACTGCAGAGCCTCAAATGTTCTCCTCACACACCAGAACAACAAGCTAGCTCTGCTAGCAGCTTCTGGTTTCTGCTTCTTCAGGTGGTCGGTGACCAGCGTAAAGGTGCACTAGCGCCACCTGCTGGAGCAGAATAAAACACACCTGTGTGTTCAGAATGGGACTAATAAAACACACATAACATGTGATATCTTCCTCAAACAATTACTTAAAGTAAAGACAAGTTAGTTTTACACCTGTTATAATAATTTTGTTATTTACTTTATTTTAATCTTGTTTGTTTTATCTCATTTGTTTTTCTTTGATGTAAAGCTAATTATGTGTCTGTTGCTGCTGCCTGTTGGCCAGATCGTTGTTGTAAATGAGAATGAGTTCTCTATCGACTCATCTGGTTAAATAAATAACATTTTAAGTTGTTTCTTCAAATGCACTGACAAACAAGTAAAATAATTTTCCTTTTTGACGTTTCATTATCTAAATACATTTTATTTACTTATTTTTATATTCTTTATTTAACCAGGAAGGTTCCATTGAGATTAAAGTTCTCAGTTTTGAGGGAGCCCTGGCCAAGAGGCAGCAAAAGATACAGTCACAACATTTCTGTTACAGTTATGTACAAAATTATAGAAGGCAGTTACAACCAGGGCGTGGGACAAGAAGTAAGCCACAAGTTGCCTTATGTTGCAATCATCACACTTTATTTTCCACATGCATTAGGAGAGATTCTGCCGCCCCAGTCTCTGTGAAAAATCTGAATATTTTACAAGATGTACACCTTTTGATTCTTCCTCTCATGCTGCAAAGTTTCATGTTGATCCCTCCCTAACTTTATTGAAGGCCATCACCTGTTGCCATGGTAACTGACACCCCTCTCTGCTTTCACTCCCTCCTCCAGATAAGATGGGAGACACATTGCCCCATCTGCTTCCTACCCTATCTTCCTTTGCTAAGGCTGTGATGACCTACGCCCTGGCTTTTTCCCGTTGAACAGCTTTTAGATGGTCTAGTCTGCACCTGGCCTTCGCCTGTTGAGAATCTCCTTCAGCACAAGCTGAAACTTCTAGCAGCATCAGCCTGCATAAATCAGATATAGGTCTAACTCAGTGCTAGAACGTACCAGTCACAGGTGAGTCATCCATTTGGTATATGCATCGTTCAGTTCAAAGGGACGTGAGTAACACCCGAACATTGAAATGATTAATATGGGGATTAACATACAGGTGATTCATTATAAGCATATAAATACATGTGTGATCAAACCTTATTTTCACAAAGCATACTGATGATTAACCATAGATAGATAGATAGATAGATAGATAGATAGATAGATAGATAGATAGATAGATAGATAGATAGATAGATAGATAATGTAACGTGAGGAAATATGGGTTTTCTGTCACAAAGGTCATGTGACTCGGCTGGGTCAAAGAGCTGGGTCGCTGAGAACTTTCACCCACAGATTGAGACCTTTGCAGACATGAAGTCTGCAAGAGTCTGCTGGAAACCATAACATCTGCCACCTGCAGTCTGCCAGAAGATGTGTTCCCAGGAAATGTAGTCATAACAAGTCTTAAACTTTCTTTCTTGATTTTAATGTTAAAGAATAATCATTATCATTTTGTCATTATAAATGTGTTTTAATCAAATGAATGATTCTTATGCTTTGGGTAATTATAATGGATTAATGAATCCATACTTAATTAAATAATGTTTGAGGATGTTTGTTAACGACCTTCACACACACACTCAAGCACACACACACTCAAACACACCCACACACAGATTCTCACAGTAAACTCCAAAACACATTTGCTGACGTACATGTTTTGCTTTGAGAAGAGAAAGGCTTTTGGTAAGTTTCATTTTATGATTCAGTTCGTGTTGGACAACGAAAGAGAGAGGACCTGAAGAAACCAAAGGGGGGACAGAGCCGATCGGCTCATCCCCCCCCCCCCCCCCCCCACGCTGTTCCTGTCAGCCAGACAGAATAGCTGAATCGCAACTTCTAACGCAGACTCATACCGAGTCTTTTGATTTCTGAGTGAACTAAACTTAACAAAACGCATCGACAAAACGCTTTACCATCAACGTGGACCGAGGGCAACTCTGGACTGGTTCGTGGCGCATCTTTGTCTTCTTTGCCAGCCAAGGTGCCCTGGATGAAACATCATCCTAAGGTGACGTCCCGGGTCCAACAGGGAGCCCAAATACGGTGAGGCATTCCACGACAGATAGCGTTTTGATGCATCTTTTCCAACTAAAACTAAGTTTATTCAAACCATCACTTTTCACTCAGACACCTGTTTCTTCCTGAAGCAAAATCAGATGCACACCCGCACTCAGCTCACCTCATATTCAATCTTCACACACTCATCACAAGGTCTATTTGAGCAAGAACAGCATATCAACTGTTAAAGATTGTCCCACAAAGTTGCCAATGTTGATTGTTATTTCCTGTTTGTCAGTTTCAAAATCATTAGTTTAATTTGAAGAATTAAAACTTTTAACTGTCAAACTTGTTTCTTCATTGAACTGAAACACAGACCCACGGATATTATCGACAGTTTATCGATGAAAACAACCTTTGAGTCTTCTTAAAACTATACAATTTGGTTATTAATTTAATAAAATTAATATCACAAATTAAAATGTAGAATGGTTCCTCTTTCATAAAAGAGCATAAACCATAACGCTACAATAGATAGATAGATAGATAGATAGATAGATGATGATGATGATAGATAGATAGATAGATAGATAGATAGATAGATAGATAGATAGATAGATAGATAGATAGATAGATAGATAGATAGATGATGATAGCTAGATAGATAGATAGATAGACAGACAGACAGACAGACAGACAGACAGACAGACAGACAGACAGACAGACAGATAGATAGATAGATAGATAGATAGATAGATAGATAGATAGATAGATAGATAGATAGATAGATAGATAGATAGATTTTTTTCCTGGTTTGTGAAATAAGATTTGTGTAGAGATGAGATTTCAAAGTTCTTTTGAGGTAAAGCCACATAAACAGAACACATATACAAAATGTGCATCCCAACAAAAAAGACAACCAACACTCCAATCTCATCTGTCAGCCAGAACTGGCCCACCAGCAATGTTCTTTTTTCTCTTGGAACTCTGGAGGCTCGGGGGAGTTCTTAAAGCTATGGTATTATCCAGACGGTTTGGACGTAACCTTAGGGAAAACGTTAAGTTCTTTTGGGGCCGGCTTCCCTTACTTCCGTTTGTCGTTATGTTGTTGAGGGTGGTTACTGTTTGGTTCAGTCTGCTCCCCTTTTGTTTCTGGTAAGACCTCATATTTGGATTCTCTGGGTGAATCCCCAGTATTCGCACAGATAAGTTCATGTTAAGGCCGAGTGTTAAAGGGCCATATTACTCAGAACATTTCTGGAATATCATTTTTGTCTTAGCAAGTCTTCTTCCATTTTGTGTTGTCGTTTATCTCCCGTAGGGACGCTTTTTGGTTCTCGACCGGAAATGGGTGGCTTGCCAACTCCGGGTCGGGAGAGAGGTCCAACCTCAAGTGGAGGAGTTTAAGTATCTCGGGGTCTTGTTCACGAGTGAGTGTAGGAGGGATCGGGAGATCGACAGGCGGATTGGTTCAGCGTCTAAAGTGATGCGGACGCTGAGCCGATCTGTCGTGGTGAAGAGGGAGCTGAGCCAGAAAGCCAGGCTCTCGATTTACCGGTCGATCTACGTCCCAATCCTCACCTATGGTCATGAGCTTTGGGTAATGACCGAAAGAACGAGTTCGCGGATACAAGCGGCCGAAATGAGTTTCCTCCGTAGGGTGGCCGGGCTCAGCATTAGAGATAGGGTGAGGAGCTCAGACATTCGGGAGGGACTCGGAGTAGAACCGCTGCTCCTCCGGCTCGAAAGGAGTCATTTGAGGTGGTTTGGGCATCTGGTCAGGATGCCTCCTGGACGCCTCCCTGGGGAGGTGTTTCGGGCATGTCCTGCCGGCAGGAGGCCCCCGGGTCGACCCAAGACACGTTGGAGAGGTTACATATCCAATCTGGTCCGGGAACGCCTTGGGGTCCTGCTGGAGGAGCTGGTGGAGGTGGCCGGGGAGAGGACGGTCTGGAGCTCCCTAATTGGGATGCTGCCCCCGCGACCCGGACCCGGATAAGCGGAGGAAGACGACGACGAGGGACGCTTTTTGTTGATAAAATGTTTGTTTTGTCAAATGTGATTTGGTGTACTGCTCCCTATTTTATTTTTTTACACTCACGTACCTGTGTTAGCCCTCCCAGGATCCCAGACCTGGTTGAGGTTGTAACAGAAGAACTTGTTTCATGCATTGTGTGTAAATAAGCTCCAGTTTGGAGGAAGACATTGTCTCAGCCCATTGTTTGATCTAGCGTGAGCACTCTCCGTACCTAAAATAATAACAGTCGTGGGGCTCTAGGTTCACACTTGTACCAAATTAATATGTAGTCAATTTGCTTTCTTTTGCTGAATTTCTACTTTGTTCTTGATGGTCGCACGTGTAGCATCATGAATGGCCTCATTTTGTGGGGCAAAGTTCACTCTTTCCAGCTGGGTCACAGCTGGGTCGAGCTGTAACTTCCATCCACAGATTAAACCACCAGGAGCCGAATAGTCTACAATAACACCGTCTTCAATCTGACTGTTTATCTGTTTGCTGTTCCATCACGAGATGAAGGACCTTCAACTCTAATCAAATAATTTAATAAACTCTTTTATTATAAGGTTTACTATAATCATCATAAATGATCATCATGGTTCATTATAAATGTATTTTT